TTGTTATAAGATCATAACATGGTGTATATTTATGCATATACATGTGTATATTAAAATATTTATTTTTGTCTTGACGCCACATGATAGAAGCATAAGGCCAGTTTCATCGAAGATCTAGAAGAGGAGAGGAAGTTTACAAATTACCCTAAACTACAGTAGTTTAACAATTAAGCATGTAAGATGGGGTGAACTTAAGTGTTTCTCGGTTGTTGTAGTTTGGGGCAGTACAAGAGTTGTTAGCTGGATATTGTCTTGGTCTTAAGGATTGTAAGATGCACTTAATGTTAAGCCGGATGGTGGTGGTTGAATGAGGATTTGGCGTGAAGTACTTCGCTAATTTCAAATCACAGTGTTATTGTATTTATGTGTTAAAATGTGTGTATATTGACTACTCGATAGCTCGGTCAATAAAGCTTCGGCTTCACACACGTGGGGTACACGGTTCGAGCCTCTTTGGGGCCAGATGAATGTAATGTTTGTGTATTATTTCGGTCTTGGTAAGGATGTCCTGTAATAGCGCCCTATTTATGCATTCCGACACACCTTGAAAGATATTTGCAAATATATTAAGCTCATTGGAGCTGGTATTTATAGTAAGGGGAAACCTTTCACAATGTTACTCTACCTTCGTAAATATTTACGAGATCGTTAGCTAAACTTGTCATTTAGCGACACGTGGTGCATCCAATCAAATTGTAAAAATAAACTTTTGGAGAGCCAGTGTGTAAACATCCTTCTAAAATGAAATGTAACATAGAAAAAATATAAATGACTCGTGTTAGAATCATTCCTACAGCCCTTTCGATCATGTTCAGTAAGAGATTAGTTACGTTATCCTAATAATTATATTTGATAGACATTCAGATATTGTGTTAAGCTCGAAATAAATTATATACGCTGGTTAAACTAGTAAAACACACAGAATGGAAAATATATCATTACCATAGCATAAGAACTGGTCAAGATTTTGATGCACTATTTGAGGCGTGAGATATAAACTAATTCTTACTGTAAATCAACATCTGAAAGATATCAAAGTCGTGTTCTATTCAGATTTGTTATTAATATAATTTAAATATATCCTGCAATATGTAAGCATGAAATTTTGAAAAAAATATTAATATAAAAATCACAATGGTGTGTTACATAAACGAGGCCTTGACTTGAATGACTTCTGGTGACTTGAACCAGCCTTCTAGTGGTTCCCAGACACCCTAACCCACCTGCCGTGGCAGACAGGCTTAAGGCAAGCGTCTAGAAATTAACAGAGCGTCAGTTCTAGTCACCCCATTGACCCAAATGATTTTATCTGAGAAATATAGTTGAGTTAGACATAGAAATAATGTAACAGTTACTGCAGAGTGACGTCAAGACTCATCAAACTTGTCAGACAGAATCAAAGACACAGAGACTGACCTGAGCTGCCGCCAAGGGTGAACCTGGAGACGATCATTCCGTAGTAAGGGGCCATTGTTCCTAATCCCTTGAAGGCGCCGAGTAGCGCGAACATGACGTTGCCGGTAATAAACATAATCGCTGCAGCAATACAGGGGGGTCTGTTGAGGGGAAAAAGGTATTTCGTTGAGCCTGTCGACAATTTTAAAGGCAGAGGTGGAGTGGATACGAGCTACGGGGAACAACGTAATATATAACAGCGAAAAAAAAGAGTTTAGGTATTACGGGCTATTCATGTCCGTGCCACCTCTTGGGTGGCTTAATCTTTATCAATCAATCCGTTTATGCATCGTGTGGCTTATGGGTTAATAGACCTTATGCAGTTTTTTTTAGCTTTTGTTCTTATGATGAGTGATTATCTTGAGATGATTTCGGGGATTTGCGTCCACGCGGCCCGGTCCTCGACCAGGCCTCCATTTTGTTACACACCCCCAGGAAGCAGCCCGTAGCAGCTGTCTAACTCCCAGCCCTGGAAACACAAACCGAAACTGTCTCTATTTTTCACTTGTTACAACTTGTAATAAAGTTGTTACATCTTGGCTTAAAGTGTTTATGACGTATTAGAACGTAGTTACAACTTGCTATATTGGTTGTTATAACTGTTTAGGAAGTGTTAAAGCTTGTTCGAACGTTGTACCAACATCGTAGTTTCGGTGTGTGTTTGGCGGGAGGTGACCTATTTACTGCTAGGTAAACAGGGGCATCACGGTGAAAGAAAATCTGTTCATTTGTTTCCTCCTCCGCCGGGGATCGAACCCGGAACCTTAGGACAACGAATCCCGAGCGCTGTCCACTCAGCCGTCAGGGGCCCCCCCACTGCCCCAGAGATGGGGCAGTATGCTGGATATTATGACTTGGTTGTGATGGTAGACTGGTTGATTAATTATTGTACCTGTGTGAGCTGGCTGATTGATTGTTGTACCTGTGTGAGCTGGCTGATTGATTGTTGCACCTGTGAGAGCTGGCTGATTGATTGTTGTACCTGTGTGAGCTGGCTGATTGATTGTTGTACCTGTGTGAGCTGGCTGATTGATTGTTGCACCTGTGTGAGCTGGCTGATTGATTGTTGTACCTGTGTGAGCTGGCTGATTGATTGTTGTACCTGTGTGAGCTGGCTGATTGATTGTTGTACCTGTGTGAGCTGGCTGATTGATTGTTGTACCTGTGTGAGCTGGCTGATTGATTGTTGGTGGAGATTGTTTGGTATATAGTGCTCTTGCAATTTCTACTCTTCTCTTGTTGCCTTTGTCGATCACTTCGGCGTTGTTGGAATCTCTGATTATGATAATTGTTTGTGTTTTCTCAGGCGCCTCTCAAGAGATCTTTTTGTCTTGCCTATATATTAGAATTGATGTGGGCTGACGGTCCCCAAGTGGGAATGGGAACCCAAAGACGATATTTATCTCATTTAAGGGAATTTTATGTCTGGTGAGAGGTCTTCGTGCCAAAGTTGGAGCCCCTAAACCGGAGCCCAACCGGTTGTTGGACTTCGGTTGTGGGGGCCTCCAGAACAACCAGAGATCTCACATCCGGTGACCTTTCTAACCTTCCAGAATACCTACTTAGGGCAACTTATCGAAGCAAAGTACCAAAGTAACACCTTTCCAAAGCCCCTGATGGTATGTGCAAACAGGTATATATATATATATATATATATATATATATATATATATATATATATATATATATATATATATATATATATATATATATATATATATGATGCTGATATGAGTTCATCCTGACTGACTGTCAAAGTCCTCTGCGGGCTCACCATAGCCCGTGCTACTTGGAACTTTGTGTTCCAGGTAGCGAATCTTAAACAACAACAGACTGACTGACTGACTATGATGTCTTACCTGATACTGCCAGTCTTGTTGGCCCAGATACCAAAGAGAGGCCCAGCCACCATCATCCCGAAAGGATTGGCTGCTCCGACCCATGCCAGAGATTTCTTCGTCAGTGATGGCACCAGCTGTTGAGTGGAGAGAAAACTTGTAACTAATCACAGAGCCGAAATGCCCTTCACCATTAAGTCCATTAACTCAAGAACACTGAACAAGAACACTAGGAGCAACTCAAGAACACTGAACAAGGACACTAGGAGCAACTCAAGAACACTGAACAAGGACACTAGGAGCAACTCAAGAACACTGAACAAGGACACTAGGAACAACTCAAGAACACTGAACAAGAACACTGAATAAGGACACTAGGAACAACTCAAGAACACTGAACAAGAACACTAGGAACAACTCAAGAACACTGAACAAGGACACTAGGAACAACTCAAGAACACTGAACAAGAACACTGAACAAGGACACTAGGAGCAACTCAAGAACACTGAACAAGAACACTAGGAGCAACTCAAGAACAATGAACAAGAACACTAGGAGCAACTCAAGAACACTGAACAAGGACACTAGGAACAACTCAAGAACACTGAACAAGAACACTAAACAAGGACACTAGGAACAACTCAAGAACACTGAACAAGGACACTAGGAGCAACTCAAGAACACTGAACAAGGACACTAGGAACAACTCAAGAACACTGAACAAGAACACTGAACAAGGACACTAGGAACAACTCAAGAACACTGAACAAGAACACTAAGAACAACTCAAGAACACTGAGCAAGACAACACTAAGAACAACTCAAGAACACTAGGAACAACTCAAGAACACTGAACAAGAACACAAGGAACAACTCAAGAACACTGAACAAGAACACAAGGAACAACTCAAGAACACTGAGCACGACAACACTAAGAACAACTCAAGAACACTGAACAAGAACACTAGGAACAACTCAAGAACACAGAACAAGAACACAAGGAACAACTCAAGAACACTGAACATGAACACTAGGAACAACTCAAGAACACTAAGAACAACTCAAGAACACTGAACAAGAACACAAGGAACAACTCAAGAACACTGAACAAGACAACACTAGGTTGTGAGGCAAATAGGTAAAAATTTGCAATTGAGAATCCGAGGAGAATGGCTATTAACAGAGAACATAACTACTGTGACATGCATAAGAATTAGAATAAGCAGTTTAGTCCTCGGTTAGGAAACCGGAGAGAACCCAAAATGATTCTAGAAATGGTCGTCAGCAGCGGCTGTGAAATATTTGTTGAAGCAAAAGCTAGCTTGGAACTTGAGAATGTACCACTCTCTTAGAAAGCTTTTGAAACGTTGTTCTGGACAAAATAGAGCTCCATGGACGACGACTCATCTTAAAGGCTCAACCTATCCTGGCTGACATTGCAGCATGAGCTTGATCTACTCTTTTATAGCTATGATAATCCTATTGAACCTTGTTATTAGTTTAAATAATTTTATTAAATTTTTGTTTTACCATAAAAAAAAATATGTTTGTAAATCACAAACAACAGCTGATCTTGGATATAAAATCTCAGCTTACTTTTTTATAACATAAAAGCCTCAGAGAGTCCTAATTTTAATTAGAGAGAGAGAGAGAGAGAGAGAGAGAGAGAGAGAGAGAGAGAGAGAGAGAGAGAGAGAGAGAGAGAGAGAAGGAGAGAGAGAGAGAGAAGGAGAGAGGAGAGAGAGAGAGAGAGAGAGAGAGAGAGAGAGAGAGAGAGAGAGAGAGAGAGAGAGAGAGAGAGAGAGAGAGAGAGAGAGAGAGAGAGAGAGAGAGAGAGAGAGAGAGAGAGAGAGAGAGAGAGAGAGAGAGAGAGAGAGAGAGAGAGAGAGAGAGAGAGAGAGAGAGAGAGAGAGAGAGAGAGAGAGAGAGAGAGAGAGAGAGAGAGAGAGAGAACTTACCTCCTCATGAAGATAGGGCCAGACACCGAGACTGATAGAGATGCTGATAGATTGGACAAATATCAAACAATAGACGATCTTGTGAGATCGCTTTCGAGCCTTCTTCTCCTGGGGCGTCTCAAGCTGTCCCTTGAGGCAGCTCTCATAGATTGGTGGATCATTCCTGTAAAGCAGAAGCTTCAATCAGGTGAGAAGCCCTAGCTTCTCTTAGATGAAGGAAAAATATGAGGCTGCACATTCCTTATGTATCATCAGATGTATAAAACACACGCTTGAGTTTATGTATGTGTATGTGTACTCACATTGAAGCACGTATAAGTGGTTGAGTCTTTAAGTCTGTTGATGGTATGAATCATTTACTACCTACACACATGCGGTTGTGGTTTCTACTATTATCACTGAGCATTCAGTCAACGTCAACTCGTTCAACTAATGAGTTAGTGTGTGTCCACTCACCTAGTTGTGTGTGTGTGTGTGTGTGTGTGTGTGTGTGTGTGTGTGTGTGTGTGTGTGTGTGTGTGTATGTGTGTGTATTCACCTAGTTGTGTTTGCGGGGGTTGAGCTTTGCTCTTTCGGCCCGCCTCTCAACTGTCAATCAACTGTTTACTAACTAATTAAAATGTGTGTGTGTGTGTGTGTGTGTGTGTGTGTGTTTGTGTGTGTGTACAAATTTACACAGTCAGGAATTACACAAAATTAAATATTTATGAAGGTATAGGTAATTTACAAAAATTACAAACGTGTTAAATAATAATACAATAATCTATATAATTTTAAGTATTGTAAAGTGAAACAAAAAATGTAGACAGCCCAGAGATTTTATGTTGCATTAACATTTTAAGACTCGACAACATGGTATAATACAAAGATTTAACGTACATATGTGGCTTGGGAAGAATGCCTTTACTAGGGTCCATATCTTGAGATTATCTTGAGATGATTTCGGGGCTTTAGTGTCCCCGCGGCCTGGTCCTCAACCAGGCCTCCACCCCTAGGAAGCAGCCCGTGACAGCTGACTAACACCCAGGTACCTATTTTACTGCTAAGTAACAGAGGCATAGGGTGAAAGAAACTCTGCCCATTGTTTCTCGCCGGCGCCCGGGATCGAACCCGGGACCACAGGATCACAAGTCCAGCATGCTGTCCGCTCGGCCGACCGGCTCCTTACTGTAGAAGCCTCCCCCACAAGACTTACCTACAGCAGGGATGGTTAACCTGACCGTACAGAACTTCAGACTTTTGCTGAAAACAAAAACTGCCAAATTATATTAACTTTAGTTTCCTCGCGTGGCAAAGGTTAAGTCTCCACTGACTTCTAGCTAGTCACAGGATGAATAACAGTACAGTGTAGTAAAGACCAACATTCCTTACACACACAGGTATATATGACAATGACACGTAGTGGAGTTGACTTCCAAGGTGTGCAGTTGTACCACACGTCTGCCATATTGTGCAACATTTACACAATTAGTCAAAACTAGACAGCACCGCTGTATTATCTCAGGAAAGCTGTTTTGATTATTATCTCAAGGAACAACTTCAGCACAAAACACTCACTCTTCAAGTGCAAGAATCGGCACACACACACTTTGCAGCCGGCACCTTAATCTTCAACGCTCTGAGAGATATGCAGACGAGGAGTCACAATAACGTGGCTAAAGTATGTTGACCAGACCACACACTAGAAGGTGAAGGGACGACGACGTTTCGGTCCGTCCTGGACCATTCTCAAGTCGATTGATTCTCACAATCGACTTGAGAATGGTCCAGGACGAACCGAAACGTCGTCGTCCCTTCACCTTCTAGTGTGTGGTCTGGTCAACCTCTGAGAGAGATATATATGCAGATCACCAGTCCAAACCTTTAAACTCCTATCAAAACAAGACGTCGTTTAGTCCAAACTTTTGTATCTAGCACAGTCGGGGCAGGACGACACATATAATATAGATTACTTTCAGCATTATGTTGTAGTAAATGTGTATATGTTATGTTGTAGTAGATGTGTATATGTATATACCACGACAGACAAATTTGTGTCTGCTGTATAACACGAATCTTCGTATTACACAACACGTGACAATAAATGAAATTAGACGAGTCTATATCGACTGAGTGTATGAAAAACTCATCACAAATGAAGTTCATTAACAACTGCCACACTTTCAGTTTTTATGTTAATGGCGACGTTACAAAATAATGCCTCAAACATGGCTTGAAATGGAGGTAAACCTGCAACAAGAACACATCCTTGGGAGACTGTATAGTAAACCAATATGTGTAGTGTGTATACACATCCGTCCACCAACACATGCAACTCATTTAACAGAGTTTAATGAACTATTGGACGAATTCTCCTCAAGAGTATCCAATGAGCAACTTCCAGAATATATCAGAGCTCGACAAGCAGAACTGGTCTGCCTACTGAAGGAGATAATGTCTGCCTGCTGAAGGAGATAATGTCTGCCTACTGAAGGAGATAATGTCTGCCTGCTGAAGGAGATAATGTCTGCCTGCTGAAGGAGATAATGTCTGCCTACTGAATGAGATAATGTCTGCCTACTGAAGGAGATAATGTCTGCCTGCTGAAGGAGATAATGTCTGCCTGCTGAAGGAGATAATGTCTGCCTGCTGAAGGAGATAATGTCTGCCTACTGAAGGAGATAATGTCTGCCTACTGAAGGAGATAATGTCTGCCTGCTGAAGGAGATAATGTCTGCCTACTGAATGAGATAATGTCTGCCTGCTGAAGGAGATAATGTCTGCCTACTGAAGGAGATAATGTCTGCCTACTGAAGGAGATAATGTCTGCCTACTGAATGAGATAATGTCTGCCTACTGAATGAGATAATGTCTGCCTGCTGAAGGAGATAATGTCTGCCTTCTAGAGGAGATAATATCTTCTTAATAGAGGAGATATTGTATGACTTCCAGAAGAGATAAAACCTGTTACGAGTGGAGGCAGAAAATGCTCACGAAAAGAGTAGTAGTTTTAACCTCAGATGGAACCAGTATTGCACATTTGTAGACTCAACATCTACCAACAAGAGAACCATCACCTACCCGGTGGTGGTGATGGTAGAAACGGAACCACGCTTGAGGGATCCTCTGCCCATGTTGTGGAGCTGAACCTCGTCCATACTGTGGTCAACTACCAGAGATCCTCGTTTGCCCAGCATCCCGCCCATCTTGTAGGAGGATCCAGATGCTGTTATCTCAGTGTTGCTCACAGCAATGTCACCTTCATGGAACACAATGTGGGTTTTGAGTGGTTGTGTTCCATGTAGCCTGGAAGACAATCATTACTGAAAATAATGTGTTTTAAATGCAATATTGAAAAAAGTCCTGTGTATATAACAGGTTCTAATAGAATAATCTATATATCTCTACCGTTTCTTATGGAGGAAGAATACATCAAGCTTCAGAGAATTCTTTAGCAAGGTCCTGGGCAGTGGCCACACGGTATAAAACAAAATCTCATTTGGTATATATATATGAGATTTTCAAATGGGGTTTGAAATGATATAGACAATCTCATTTAGCAGCATTACACATAATGCGTTTATTGAATATTTTTGGAATGGATAAAATAAGAGCGCTGCATACTCTTGAACGTGTCTGACGTTCGTTATATTTAGCTTTTCACGAATTTCCGTTTTGTAAGCTGCTGAAGACTATTCGGACAGTAACACGAATGGCGGATGCTGCCGAGGATATCAGCAGCATCCGATATCCTCGTATATAGTATTATTTATAGTATAATATAATAATATGTTATTATTTTGATAACAATATGTTATCAATGTTGATAACATCCCATTCTATCAAGAGAGAAACTCGTGTGCAGCATCCAGCGTGTTGATATCAGGCTGTGACGGCAGACGTATTTGTGACGATATCAGGATGTATTTGTGATATCAATTTTCCACAGAGATATTGTCAGTTTCAGAATAATTATGTTGCATATACTGAGCACATGGACACGACAGAGAATTTTTATTGTTGTTGTTGCTTATCTTCATATCTATTGGTCGTAATTAATTTTTTGAGTAGTGTTGATAAGGAAGACTCGGTCTTATCACAGGAGATAAAAAAAAAGAAGATGGCAGCGTTGTTGCAAGGCAATGTGGGAATCCCATTATTAACAGCTGGAATCTCTAAGAGGTTTCAGTTGAATCTCAGGTTACATTGCTTTTTTTTTTACATTGTGGTCTGAGGTGTTTGCTTGGGAGTATCCAAAGCATGGGTTCGAATCGTTTGCATGACTCTTACTGATTTTTCCTCCTTTATAACTCACGTTGATATGATTTCATCGTGCGTTGAATATAATATAATATAATGTACAAGAATGAATGAATATAATATAATGTACAAGAATGTAACAACTCTTGTATATATCTCAAAAAAAAAAAAAAAAAAAAAATAATATAATTTCAGATTGCCTAAGTGACTGTTTCATTGAGTCAATGCAACATCAATCATCACACATTATAAATAAATATAAATTATTTATAAATATAAATTATTTATAAATATAAATTCAAAGGTTCCAAAAAAAAAAAAACATTTTTTTTCCACTTTAGGAAAATTAAAAAATAATTAGTTCGAGATCTACTAAGACTGGAGAGATAATGTTTAACTAGGCGACCTATAGCGGAAGATGGCCTATAGCGGAAGACGGCCTATAGCGGAAGATGGCCTATAGCGGAAGACGGCCTATAGCGGAAGATGGCCTATAGCGGAAGACGGCCTATAGCGGAAGATGGCCTATAGCGGAAGATGGCCTATAGCGGAAGACGGCCTATAGCGGAAGATGGCCTATAGCGGAAGATGGCCTATAGCGGAAGACGGCCTATAGCGGAAGATGGCCTATAGCGGAAGATGGCCTATAGCGGAAGATGGCCTATAGCGGAAGATGGCCTATAGCGGAAGACGGCCTATAGCGGAAGATGGCCTATAGCGGAAGACGGCCTATAGCGGAAGATGGCCTATAGCGGAAGATGGCCTATAGCGGAAGATGGCCTATAGCGGAAGATGGCCTATAGCGGAAGATGGCCTATAGCGGAAGATGACCTATAGCGGAAGATGGCCTATAGCGGAAGATGGCCTATAGCGGAAGATGGCCTATAGCGGAAGATGACCTATAGCGGAAGACGGCCTATAGCGGAAGACGGCCTATAGCGGAAGATGGCCTATAGCGGAAGATGGCCTATAGCGGAAGATGACCTATAGCGGAAGATGACCTATAGCGGAAGACGGCCTATAGCGGAAGACGGCCTATAGCGGAAGATGGCCTATAGCGGAAGATGGCCTATAGCGGAAGATGACCTATAGCGGAAGATGACCTATAGCGGAAGATGGCCTATAGCGGAAGATGGCCTATAGCGGAAGATGACCTATAGCGGAAGATGACCTATAGCGGAAGACGGCCTATAGCGGAAGACGGCCTATAGCGGAAGATGGCCTATAGCGGAAGATGACCTATAGCGGAAGATGGCCTATAGCGGAAGATGGCCTATAGCGGAAGATGACCTATAGCGGAAGATGGCCTATAGCGGAAGATGGCCTATAGCGGAAGATGGCCTATAGCGGAAGATGGCCTATAGCGGAAGATGGCCTATAGCGGAAGATGACCTATAGCGGAAGATGACCTATAGCGGAAGATGGCCTATAGCGGAAGACGGCCTATAGCGGAAGACGGCCTATAGCTGGAAGACGACCTATAGCGGAAGATGGCCTATAGCGGAAGACGGCCTATAGCTGGAAGACGACCTATAGCGGAAGATGGCCTATAGCGGAAGACGGCCTATAGCTGGAAGACGACCTATAGCGGAAGATGGCCTATAGCGGAAGACGGCCTATAGCTGGAAGACGACCTATAGCGGAAGATGGCCTATAGCGGAAGACGGCCTATAGCTGGAAGACGACCTATAGCGGAAGATGGCCTATAGCGGAAGACGGCCTATAGCTGGAAGACGACCTATAGCCGAAGCTGACCTATAGCGGACTAATTGGTGACACTAATTAATAGACGGTAGCCTTTTAAAAGGGCTAAAAAAAGGGCCTGTTGTTTTAAGCTGAGCTGGGTGACTTGAGTTCGTTTTAGTACCCCAAATATTGATCGTTGTGGCCACTCAGGAATACGGGGCGGAATATATATATATATTCCACATGGAAAATTCATTATTTTTTAACTAAAGTTACGGCGGAGGAAATTTTAACACCAGAAAAAATATTTTAGTTTTCCTTAGCTTTGATTTTCCGGTTTTCTGTTCAGATGTTTATACTAGTAAACTGTACGCCACTGAACAATTTTTTCTTGGTTAACGGATCGTTAACCACTCTCACCCGTCATGACAAACTCCTTCATGGAATTGTTTGTGAGTTAATTGTTGCAATAATATATTTTCTTAACTAGATGTTTTAGACTATAATGATAAGTGGAGCAATTGACTCAGGACGTCTTAGGTGGGCGTAGTGAAGGGGTAACTAATCTAGGATTTCTCAGTTCACCATTATGAAGCATTAACTGACCTGGGGTGTCTCAGCTCACTGTAATGGAGAGGCAAACTAACTTATGACGTCTCAGCTCAGAGTAGTGAAGCAACAACCGATCTAAGGCTTCGCAGCTTGCTGAAGTGACTCTCATCTATATGATAAAGTCGTATCTTCATTGTCATAATCTGTCTCTTATCGCTATTCTGATTAACTTTTTTTCAATAATGAGATAAAATAAATAATTTATTATATCAAGAATTTGTGGCATTCCATTAGTGCGTGTAAGGAAATAGGTATATATTTGAAATAGGCTAAACTTTGCAGGATGACTAGGGAAGGGGACTGTCATTGGTGGGTGACGGTCAGAGACACTTAAATTGAGTCACTTAAACAAATATGTACTAGAACAATCTTGGAACCCATCTCTATAAGAGAGAATGTCTGTGTGTTTGTCCAAGGATGAAGAGTACACACTTAAGAATATATTAAACAACATTTTCAAGATGACACGTTAGCGGTATGGGACTGTCATAGGCTCAGTTGGGTCAGCCACAGTGCCCCTTTGAGAAATTTCGTCCCCCTATAGATTTTGATGTATTCTGCGCTTTTATGATTTTCTCCATAGATTTTTTTAGAATTGTTTAATCTTTTTGTAACATAACATTTTCTGAGATAGAGAGAAAGGGGTTCTCAGTTGGCTTCGGGTTGTTTTTAATGAGGAGGTCGATAGTCTTCTTTTATAGTATATGATGATGTAAAATGTTTTGCAGACGAGGAGTCACAATAACGTGGCTAAAGAGGGGCCTCGTAGCCTGGTGGATAGCGCGCAGGACTCGTAATTGTGTGGCGCGGGTTCGATTCCCGCACGAGGCAGAAACAAATGGGCAAAGTTTCTTTCACCCTGAATGCCCCTGTTACCTAGCAGTAAATAGGTACCTGGGAGTTAGTCAGCTGTCACAGGCTGCTTCCTGGGGGTGGAGGCCTGGTCTAGGACCGGGCCGCGGGGACACTAAAGCCCCGAAATCAACTCAAGATAACCTCAAGAAAGTATGTTGACCAGACCACACACTAGAAGGTGAAGGGACGACGACGTTTCGGTCCGTCCTGGACCATTCTCAAGTCGATGACTTGAGAATGGTCCAGGACGGACCGAAACGTCATCGTCCCTTCACCTTCTAGTGTGTGGTCTGGTGAACATGTCAATGTTTTGGTTAGGGGGGGGGTTGTGTTTTTTTACTCCTTTATCGATTATTTCTTTCATTATTCTTTCATCTTTCTTAGATTCGCTGTGCATGGTAGACTTGTAATATTATTTGATTGGAGGTGTTGTGGTTTCTGCTCTTGGGAGAGGATTGTACCATCGTTCTAAGTACTCTTGGGAGAGGATTGTACCATCGTTCTAAGTACTCTTGGGAGAGGATTGTACCATCGTTCTAAGTGTCGTCTTATAAAGTTGTTTATCTCGTGGTTAATATACCCATTGTTTACCAGTACTTTTGTTATCCTTTCACTCTCCCTTCTCTCGTTGCTCCATTCAGAGCAGTGGTTAAAGTCTCGACGAATATAAACATTGAGAACACTGGCTTTATATCTTGGGGGGGGGGGGCTCACTCCTACCGTTTAGGCCTAATCCTATATTTGTAGTCTTCGTATATACGCTGTTTTTTTTTTGCAGGGATAATCCTGCGCGGACCTTAAGCCTCTGGCTGGCCCACTAAGTGCTGCTCGTTTCTGTTTTACTTGGGCGGAGTATGAGTATTTATGCCTCGTATGGTCGCTTCAGTAAGATATCCGCTGGTGCTAAGAGTTCTGACTCTCTCTCTAGATGGCTTCCATTATCTTAGTATAAGTATTAAGAAGAGCAATCAGGTTACCAAAATTCGTTGTTAAAGAAACTATACTAATGATTCGAGGATTTATTTTCTACAACGTTCCCTTACTCTCTGGAACATCTTCAGGTAAAGAATAAATACACGAGGTCAAATGTTTGGATAAATACACGTGTGAAAAAAATCGAACGAGTATGGGACGAGGTAAGGGGTGATAAAGCCAATCAAACGTTGGGTAAGAGGGGATAAGGCCAATCAAACGTTGGGTAAAGGGGGGATAAGGCCAATCAAACGTTGGGTAAAGGGGGGATAAGGCCAATCAAACGTTGGGTAAAGGGGGGATAAGGCCAATCAAACGTTGGGTAAGGGGTGATAAGGCCAATCAAACATTGGGTAAGGGGTGATAAGACCAATCAAACGTTGGGTAAGGGGGGATAAGTCCAATCAAACGCTGGGTAAGAGGGGATAAGTCCAATCAAACGTTGGGTAAAGGGGGAATAAGACCAATCAAACGTTGGGTAAAGGGGGGACAAGGCCAAGCAAACGTTGGGTAAAAGTCTGGTACTCTGGGGGGACAGGGAGACCTCGGTAGAGACGTCATTATCCAGTGATGTTTGGCGCGATCTAAGTCTGAGTGTTGGCAAGGAAACGCAGCAGCTATTCTGAACAAATCCACAAAGGCCGTGACGAGGATTCGAACCTGCGTCCGGGAGCATCCCAGACCCTGCCTTAATCGACTGAGTTTTGTTCATTTGATGCATCACGTTATTGTGATCCCTGTGTGTGTAGTAGCTATTCTGTCTATTTAAGATGAGTGCGTTTGTTTTTACAAGTATAACTCCAAGAATTTTCAGTCTTCTTTGATCACTGGTAGATTCCAGGATTCCTTGAAGCTGTACCCCCCTTGTTCAAGGCTCCGGAACCACCCCTTTCTTATTCTCGAAGCCCCCCCCCCAGGAAACCTCAAGAGACATATTATAGTTATCCAGTAGATGCCAATTAAGCAGAGCAATTAATTATAAGCAATTAAACAATGGGCAGAGTTTCTTTCACCCCTGATGCCCCTGTTACCTAGCAGTAAATAGGTACCTGGGAGTTTTAGTCAGCTGTCACGGGCTGCTTCCTGGGAGTGGAGGCCTGATCGAGGACCGGGCCGCGGGGACACTAAAGCCCCGAAATCATCTCAAGATAACCTCTCAAGATAAGCAACTCACCTGTAGTCACCTAGTACAGATCGTCCAAAACAATTATAAATTGTTTCCTAATTTGCTTTATACAACTTTCCACAGTTGCATAAATGCATGTTGCATGACCCCCCCCCCCCCAAGATTGTGGTTGTGCTGGTCCGGTAGTTAGCTTAAGTTGGTTCGTAATATATTATGATTTATAAATATCTTGAATTACTGCTACTCAGGCTTATTGTAGTAGGTAATACTTGTTGACAAATTCAAAGGCAAAATAATGCCTTAGATACATTATGATAACTGACTCGTTTCGCCTGAAGGACAGGTTATCTTGAGGTTATCTTGAGATGATTTCGGGGCTTTAGTGTCCCCGCGGCCCGGTCCTCGACCAGGCCTCCACCCCCAGGAAGCAGCCCGTGACAGCTGACTAACACCCAGGTACCTATTTTACTGCTAGGTAACAGGGGCATAGGGTGAAAGAAACTCTGCCCAATGTTTCTCGCCGGCGCCTGGGATCGAACCCAGGACCACAGGATCACAAGTCCAGCGTGCTGTCCGCTCGGCCGACCGGCTCCCTTATCATACAAGAATTGTTAAGCTATAAATATTATAACAATTTCGTTATGCGTGAAGGACGATTGTTCTTTAATACAATCATGATTGTCTAAAAAAAAACATGTTTAAAGCGTTCAGTCATATCACTTCCATGTCACATACTATGTGTAGCTAGTATGTGTCTGTATGTGTAGATGTTAGTATGTGTCTTGCCCCCTGACACATACCGTGTGTAGTTAGAGATACCTTTCATGATACAGCCTGGATATTGGCCTTTACAACAGGACCTGTGCTTTCAGCATAATGGCTTCCAAAATAAGGCACTAATACCAAGCTTCTATAATGAAAAACCTAATACCAGGCTTCTATAATGAGGGCCCCAATACCAGGCTTCCATAGGAGCCACCACTTATACTGGCTGGCTCCTGGCCCGCGTCCAACAGCCTGGTTGACCAGTCCAGCAACGAGAAGGCCTGGTCGACGACCGGGCCGCGGGGACGCTGAGCCCCGGAATCACCTCAAGGTAACCTCAAGGTAAGGTACTGTAAATAAAGTTCAGAATATATGCAATAATGTCCAGTATGATAAGGGTAGTAAAGTGAGCTGTTCAGTTATACTTTACGACAATACTTATTCCTGTATAAGGGGAAATATACAGTAGATAAGAACCAGATAAATATACAATTATTATGCCTTGTGATCCTGAGCTGCCGGCCCGTCGTAGGCGTAATTCCCCTGCTGGTTGGGCACTTTCATTGGCACCAGACGCCGGTAGAAATAGGTCATCTCAAGCAGCGCCGACCCCGTCACGACGGTCAAGATGCCAAAGCACCATCTAGTGCCTAGTTCCGAGTACACATATGAGATGATGACTGGGCCAATTATCCGGGCGCTACTGCTAGATCCGCTAATTACCCCCATCCAGACTCCTTGAGGTTTAGGTCCCAGCATCTTCGAAAATATCCCCAGCATGATGACTTGCGCCAGAGGGAATCCCATGATGGCGATGATGAAGCCAAGGAGGAGTTGGATTTGTGGCAACTGGGGCGTGTAAGTACACCAGTGCTGGATTACGGGGCAGCCTTCATGACAATCATCGTCGTCTTCAGATGGCATTCCCATTTCGAGATGAGACATAACAGGCCAGCGGATCGCCTCGTAGGTGGTTTCCGTAGTAGAGGCCATAGTTGTGGTCTCATTCATGTCGCAATGTTGCATAGGAATGGTGTTATGCCCCCAGGGAATGAAGAGGAACATACCTATGACAATGGGCAACATTCCTGCCAGCAGCATGACGAGTCTCTCATCAGACTTCTTCGTCAGCACGCCGCTGACGGCATACATGCCTATGTTGAGAATCCCGGCGGCGCTGACGGCTATGGCAACCACGATCATGGCCTTGTTCTCGGTCCAGGCGTACTGGTCCATCACCAGAGGCACCGACAATGTCTCTAGGAATACTATGATGAAGACAACGCTGAAACGGGCGTAGAAGATGCCGCCCATGGCCCAGTAATCAGGCTTGGGAAGTTTGAAGACCTCATTAGTGTGAGTGGATGTTGTCATCTTGGCTCGCTCCTGCTTGGAGATGTTGTATTCCTGAAAATCAATAAATAGGTATGCAATTAGTGGTTAAAATTAAGTGTCTTCCCTGGAAACACAAACCTAAACTGTCTCTATTTTCCGCTTGTTACAACTTGAAATAAAGTTGTTATATCTTGGCTTAACGTGTTTATGACGTATTAGAACGTTGTTACAACCTGCTATACTGGTTGTTATAACTGGTTAGGTGGTGTTAAAACTTGTTCGAACGTTGTACCAACGTCGTAGTTTCGGTGTGTGTTTGGCGGGTTATATATCTGAATTCAGACAGCAAGGGGAGTAATGAAATGTTGTTTACTTCACATTAAATAATGAATAACAATTTAATGACTACAAACACAAAATAATCATGCAATTGATTTAACTTTATTACCCCCAAATGTATTCCACAACATTCAAAATACAAAGTTCTGCTAAGGCAATGAGGTTTTAATATTCCTGCGATACAAGGTCACTACGCAGACTAAACTTGAGAAACAGACTGAAAACTGAAAAACTGCAAAAAAAATTTAATTTGATTTTGGTCAAAAATCAGAATATAATTTTCTAAATTATGTCGCAGCTTTTGAAAAATAAAATCCAAAATTATGTTTCAGCCCGTAGTTTTCATAACACAAATATGGAGATTTTTATTCATGATGAAGCAAAGAGTACATAGATTTAATAAAAGTATATTACATCGGTATTTACTTCAGGCACTTATAAATTAAGGTGTCAAATCCCTCAGTTTACTGTGAAGACCTAATATATCTGTTTCATAAGCTGTATAGCCATATTGCCTTAGACTTTTCTCGTGATAAATGTCTTACTTTACAGTACATTTATTCATTAACAGTTCCACAAAACTGAATTTTGGTAAATTTAATTAACGATCAAATAGCCAGTTTCTGATAATTAGTGAACATATGAGACCAATAATTTGGCTTCTACTAGAGGAAATATATTCAGTTCCTAACAAATTAAAACTTCCTGGAAAAATGTTCCAGGAAGTAATTTTGGCTTGTGCTCTAGAGAACCAGGAAGTAATGGTAGCTCACCTGGAAGATTCAGGGATCTAGGACACTTACCTGGAAGATTCAGGGATCTAGGACACTTACCTGGAAGATTCAGGGATCTAGGACACTTACCTGGAAGATTCAGGGATCTAGGACACTTACTTGGAAGATTCAGGGATCTAGGACACTTACCTGGAAGATTCAGGGATCTAGGACACTTACCTGGAAGATTCATGGATCTAGGACACTTACCTGGAAGATTCATGGATCTAGGACACTTACCTGGAAGATTCAGGGATCTAGGACACTTACCTGGAAGATGTCAGGATGGAGGACACTTACCTGGAAGCTGTCAGGATGGAGGACACTTACCTGGAAGCTGTCAGGATGGAGGACACTTACCTGGAAGCTGTCAGGATGGAGGACACTTACCTGGAAGCTGTCAGGATGGAGGACACTTACCTGGAAGCTGTCAGGATGGAGCACACTTACCTGGAAGATGTCAGGATGGAGAACACTTACCTGGAAGATGTCCGGATGGAGAACACTTACCTGGAAGATGTCCGGATGGAGAACACTTACCTGGAAGATGTCAGGACTGGAGGACACTTACCTGGAAGATATCAGGATGGAGGACACTTACCTGGAAGATATCAGGATGGAGGACACTCACCTGGAAGATGTCAGGACTGGAGGACACTTACCTGGAAGATATCAGGATGGAGGACACTTACCTGGAAGACACAGGGTAGCAGGAGCAACAGATTGACAACACCCAGGGCGGCCGCGAACACAGAGGTGGCTGTATACTTGTTCCACTTGAACCAGTCTACGGCCGTGTCCACATTTTCCGGAAGAGCCACAGTTATCAGGGCCTGAATAACTGCCACAAGACAACACGATGGAGGGAGGATAACTTTCAGTCAATATATTCGCATATATATATATATACGTATAACTGCATATATTTACTTATTATAAAAAAAGCTGCTTTTCTCTTGTAATCTGAGTTGTTGTTGTTGTTTCTGCTGTTATTCAAAGTTACTTGTCTAAGATAAGCAAGTTAAAGGTTAGATGCATTTTGAAGTAATGTATTGTGTTGTGTTACATCTGAAAACCTGTTTACGAACTCATCTTTTGATTTTTTTTGTTACCTCTTCTTGCCATGAACTAATGATGCAATGATACACATTTTTGTCTAACAACCAATTGAGCAGCCTGGTGGTTAATTACTTCTGTTTCCCCTACACTAGCGGGACGTAACCAAAATAAGAGGTTGTCGTAATTGCTAAATTGTGTTATACTGTTTGACCAGACCACACATACTAGAAGGTGAAGGGACGACGACGTTTCAATCCGTCCTGGACCATTCTCAAGTCGAATTGTGAGAATGGTTTCAATCGACTTGAGAATGGTCCAGGACGGACCGAAACGTCGTCGTCCCTTCACCTTCAAGTGTGTGTGGTCTGGTCAAACTACTTCAGCCACGTTATTGTGACTCCTCGCCTGCATGTGTAACACTGACTCCCGACGGAGCGTCCTCTGCGTTCCAAAACTGTCTAAGATGAGTTGATGTGACTGACCTGGACCAATGATCATGCCGATAGCCTGACCCATGGAGAGGAGAGTGAGGCCAAGAGTCCGCTCCTCCACCGTCGTCGCGGAGGCCACGTACGAGCGGCACATTGTCCCGATGGCTGTAAGAACAGAATTTCCTTATTGAGTCTACTCATAGCCCAGTCGATAGAACCTACCTTGAGGTGGTTCAACCTAGCCCAACCTGTCCTCTTAAAAATAACGTCGCTTTTGGCCGTTTTCCTGTATGGCCGAATTTGGACGTAATTTGAAAATGAAAAAAACATGAAAATAAATTTGGGATTTTTTTTTCAACAACAGTAAGTTAAGGGTCCTCTGATAGGTTAGGTGGGCAGGAAATTCTCATAATGTCTCAAAACGTTATGAAAAACGTTAATTGAAAGTCATTTATTCTAATCTTAGAGAGTCGGCCGGACGACTCAAACAGAAAACGGAACAGTACGTCACTTTTGGGAGTCGATTTCATTTTAAATTACGTCCAAATTTGGCCATAGTGCGCATACCAGCCAAAAGTGACGTTATTTTTAAGAGGACGGGTTGCTCACACACCCGTCGGTTCGCTCACACACGGTTCGAGATTCCTACAGCCCAAGTGAATGTTTAAAATGCTGAGTATAGTTAATGGGTTTAAATATATATATATATATATATATATATATATATATATATATATATATATATATATATATATATATATATATATATATATATATATATATATATATATATATATATATATATATATATATATAGAGTACTGAATTATACTAACTAATCACCGTAATTGATCCCGGGATGAGCGGGAGAGAATATGGTGGGCATCTTTCTTTTCACCTAATGCACCTAATCCTTTCAGTTAAAATATATTCGGCTGCCTAAATTAAGATTTATAAAGACTTTAGGCATTCCATTGAAGTGAATATTGTCTTAAAATGTGGCATTGTTGACTCAAAGGTTATTGATGTATGGGTTGTTGATTCTTGGGTGTTCTTAATGCGTGGGTTGTTGTTGTATAGTTGAAACATAATATGTGTGAAGCCCCGAAATCATCTCACGGTAACCTCAAGATGGACACTAAACTACTTGTGTCACCTCTGTATCGCCAACCACAAGTGTTAAAGTAAGAAACCTTATCTATCTTACTAAATCTCCACTGCTATATATAAGCTGCAAAGCTTTTATTATTTACATATTTAAACAAAATGGTGAAAATATAATTCATTATCTATTTTCGTATGTTTACAATGAACAAATTAAGCAGGAAAATATGCAACAAACGACATGATAAATCCAGTCACCTGCACTGAAGCCAGTGATGAATCTGGAGGCGATCATGGCGTAATATGGAGCCATCAGCCCAACCGTTTTGAACGCGGCCAACAAGGTGTACAGGATGTTGCCAGCGATGAACAAGAACACCGTACTGATGCTGGCAGCTCTGTGGGAGCAGGTGGGAAAGGGTCAAAGTTTACCTGGGAATCAACTAACTTCCGGTTGCAATTCTTTTTACCATGTCGTAGCTCAGTCGATTAAGGCAGCGTGTGGGGGGATCCTCTCGGACGTAGGTTCGAACCCTGGTCACGACCCATATGGATTTGTTCAACAAAGGCAACATAAAATGCATTCAAGATAATTTTTCTTTCAGAAAATAATATGATGATTTGACTTATATATATTTCATATTATTTCATAATAATGACTGCTCGGACTTAATCATTCAGGCTTTGTCTCACATGTGTAGGCTCACCACAATCTTAGTTTTTTTAAGGATTTTATGAACATTTGTACCCAAAATGCACCACAAGTGTTGCCGGGTGATGGATGGTCATGGAACCCGTGTGGAAGCGTGTGGGCTTCAAGACCGTCCATCACTCTTAACCTTAACCTAACCTAACCATGGACAGAGAGTAGATAATAATAATAATTATGTAGTCGTTCTCAATCCATTGCTGTGAGTGGATCACCTCCCTGAGGATAGGTTGATAAGCAATCGATGCTGGAGTGCTACTAGTCCTGGATAGTCAGTGGGGTGACCCTTGGCAACCCCACTGACATAGCTATGTACACTGACGGCTATGTAATAACATGTACATAGCCGTCTGCCATAGCAAATTACTTCCCCAAAGGAAGTCCAGCTGAATACTCAGCCATCAACCAGTGACATCTTGACGTCCCAGAACCACGACCACATACCAGGACGTCCCTACACAGGCAGGAGGTGTCTAAGATGAACCATCTCAAAGGAAATGGATTAAACTGGTGGATTGGACGCATGGATGCATGGATTTAGGCTGTGACTCGTACGTCAGGCTGCGAGCAGCCGCGTCCAACAGCCTGGTTGATCAGTCCGGCAACCAGGAGGCCTGGTCGACGACCGGGCCGCGGGGACGCTAAGCCCCGGAAGCACCTCAAGGTAACCTCAAGGCATGGAATCATCCATACTGAAGGGGCTATCGTCCGGCAGTTCTCTCACACGGAGAAATAAGGGTGAGGGAATGTGGTGTTATCGGAAAAGAGGATTTACTCGTGGGCCAAAGAATTTTTTGAAGAAGATGCGTTGGCGTCAGTACTGTGGTAAACATAGCAGTTATCGTGCTTTATATTCACACATAGCGAGTCAGATTTCAATTGCATGATGAATGCATCAGTGTGCATTGCTTTACAAGGAAATTATCCCAGTGTGGAGTATTACCCTGACACCCACCATGCTGATAATTCCCGGTACTTGGTACTAATTCCTGGTACTCAGACACCTTCAATGGTGATCCAGCCCTTCCCCCAATCCTCGGCTGACGGTGATGGTGACCCAACATGGCCTTACTGACCAAGATGGTGACCCAACATGGCCTTACTGACCAAGATGGTGACCCAACATGGCCTTACTGACCAAGATGGTGACCCAACATGGCCTTACTGACCAAGATGGTGACCAGCTTACCTTATACTGCCTGTCTTGTTGGTCCATATACCAAGGAGAGGACCCGCGATTATCTGTCCAAGAGGGTTGGCCGCCACTACAAACCCGAGAGATTCCTTCTCCAATGATGGTACCAGCTGTTGAGGGGAGACAAAGGGTAATTAGTGAGAGACAGAGAGAGAGGGATAGAGAGCGAGAGAGAGAGATAGAGAGTGAGAGAGAGAGAGACAGAGACAGAGAGAGGAAGAGAGACAGAGGGATAGAGAGAGAGAGAGAGAGAGAGAGAGAGAGACAGAGACAGAGAGAGGAAGAGAGACAGAGGGATAGAGAGAGAGAGAGAGAGAGAGAGAGAGAGAGAGAGAGAGAGAGAGAGAGAGAGAGAGAGACAGAGACAGAGAGAGGAAGAGAGACAGAGGGATAGAGAGAGAGAGACAAAGGGATAGAGAGAGAGAGAGAGGGATAGAGAGAGAGAGACAAAGGGATAGAGAAAGAGAGACAGAGGGATAGAGAGAGAGAGAGACAGAGGGATAGAGAGAGAGAGAGAGAAACAGAGACAGAGAGAGAGAGAGACAAAGGGATAGAGAGAGAGAGACAGAGGGATAGAGAGAGAGAGAGACACAGAGGGATAGAGAGAGAGAGACAAAGGGATAGAGAGAGAGAGAGAGACCAGAGGATAGAGAGAGAGAGAGAGAGAGAGAGAGAGAGAGAGAGAGAGAGAGAGAGAGAGAGAGAGAGAGAGAGAGAGAGAGAGAGAGAGAGAGAGAGAGAGAGAGACAGAGACAGAGAGAGGAAGAGAGACAGAGGGATAGAGAGAGAGAGAGAGAGAGAGAGAGAGAGACAGAGACAGAGAGAGGAAGAGAGACAGAGGGATAGAGAGAGAGAGAGACAAAGGGATAGAGAGAGAGAGAGAGAGAGAGAGAGAGAGAGGGATAGAGAGAGAGAGACAAAGAGGGATAGAGAGAGAGAGACAGAGGGATAGAGAGAGAGAGAGAGACAGAGGGATAGAGAGAGAGAGAGAGACAGAGGGATAGAGAGAGAGAGACAAAGGGATAGAGAGAGAGAGAGAGACAGAGGGATAGAGAGAGAGAGACAAAGGTATAGAGAGAGAGAGAGAGACAGAGGGATAGAGAGAGAGAGAGACAGACAGAGACAGAGAGAGGAAGAGAGACAGAGGGAGAGAGAGAGAGAGAGAGAGAGAGAGAGAGACAGAGACAGAGAGAGGAAGAGAGACAGAGGGATAGAGAGAGAGAGAGAGAGAGAGAGAGAGAGAGAGAGAGAGAGAGAGAGAGAGAGAGAGAGAGAGAGAGAGAGAGAGAGAGAGAGAGAGAGAGAGAGAGAGAGACAGAGGGATAGAGAGAGACAGAGACAGAGGGATAGAGAGAGAGAGAGACAGAGGGATAGAGAGAGAGAGACAGAGGGATAGAGAGAGAGAGAGAGAGAGAGACTAACCTCCTCGTGAAGATAGGGCCAGGTGCCGAGGTTAGCAGCGGCACCTATGGTAATGACGGAAGCCAAAGAATAGACGATCCACAACGATCTTTTCCGAGCCTTCCGCTCCTCTGGCGTCTCAACCTGTCCGTTGAGGACGCTCTCATAGGGCGGGGGGTCGTCCCTGTAATGCAGAAGAAGTAGTCAACGATGGCAAGACGATACGCGGTGAATATAATGAGAATAATGCAGGCGATGAGTCACAATAACGTGGCTGTAGTATGTTAACCAGACCACACACTAGAAGGTGAAGGGACGACGACGGTTCAGTCCGTCCTGGACCATTCTCAAGTCGATTGTGGTCCTGGACAATTCTCAATCGACTTGAGAATGGTCCAGGACGGTTTGAGAATAATGTGTTACAAAAGGAAATTTTTCAATCCAGTTTGCTGGAGGCAGAGTGGATGTGTTAAATTTCCAGAGGGGCTTACGTAGCATAATTGGCATGTTGCTATGTCTGGGAACACGAGATCTTAACAGCGATGTTCAAGAATGGTGTAAGAGGATTGTAAGATGGTATACCATAGTACTTCATTAGAGGAAACGCTGAAGGAAAAATGAGATTCAGTCGCAATCGACTTGAGAATGGGCCAGGACGGACCGAAACGTCGTCGTCGTCCCTTCACTTTCTATAGTGTGTGGTCTGCTCAAAAATGAGATTGCCACTGTCGCAGCTGCAACTAACCCACTACAGCACTTACTTGTAAAGCAGTGAATAAAATTATTGACTATAATTTATCCCACCATTCTTGCCATGAAATATGGGGGTAATATACAGTTGAATGAACAAGCAGAGAAAGAGGAGGACACCAAAGTGAGAGAGTATTCCTGGTGAGCTGAGGCGTGTAGGCGAGCCACGCTGTGTTTACCAAGCAATAAAACTCGTGTGAACGAGACATACATCAAACTGAGTGTGCCACCGAGCTCGCCAATCGTCTAAACGACAATGAAGCTAATTTAGCTCGAGTCGTTTCCTTTAGTTTGAAGCTGAGGGACCGCGTCCCCCTCAAGACGCATTCATCAATTTGTGACGTATTGTGTGTTAAAAATAAGTTTGTTTTCATGTATACACTCATATTTATAGGGGGTACCACCTTTGGTGCAAGTGTAGGGACCCATAGTCTCGGGGAAGAAAATATAGAGTATTCAGAGAAGACCTTGTAAATTTTCACTGAACTCTTTATTATTTTCTCTCTCTCTCTATATATATATAGTTTGGTGTAGGTTTAGGTGTTTAAGGTCTGTTGGCGATTATTTGTTTTTGAAGTACGTTGGTGAAGCATTTACAGACTTGTGATTCGAACAGAGGTTGTCAGCAAAGGACTCTTCGAGAAGTGTTCGAAAGTTATCAGTTGCGAGTCGTGTGTGTAAAGGTTTTTTCAGTCATAAAAATGAGGGGAGGGAGTTACCGGTTGGATTAATGAGCATTTGGGCTTTGTTGATGAGGGTTCGGTTAAGAGAAGAAAGGAAGCATTATGCTGTTGAATGAAGATTTTCCAATTGTTATTGTTTTTATTATAATATACTGTTTATTGTTTTTTGTTATAATATTCTGTCAGTTTTATTGATTATTCAAGAAATATAATGATAATTGTTTGTCAGGATACTTTGCTAAAACTCTGTCAGAAGTCTTAGAGTATTATATGCTTTCTCAAAGAAATTTTGTTTAAAATTTTGACAATATCTGAATTTTCCTTCATCTATATAAGATGGAAAGGCCCCTTAATCATGGTTAGTGTGTAGCATTATTTACAACCAATTAAGACTAGGAGTGTGAATACTACCATCCCACAGATAGTCTCTGAACACCCAAAATCAATCGACTTGAGAATGGTCCAGGACGGACCGAAACGTCGTCGTCCCTTCACCTTCTAGTGTGTGTGGTCTGGTCAACATACATCAGCCACGTTATTGTGACCCCTCGCCTCCAAAAATCAACCTCCCAAACATGTCCCAATGTGGAAACGCTTCCACCCATGCCTCTACCCACTGAAAGAGCCATTACTGTGCCCTTGGGGGAATGAATTCGTGGTAACTACAGAATATCACCTACCCGGTGGTGGTGGTGATGGTAGAAACGGAACCACGCTTGAGGGATCCTCTGCCCATGTTGTGGAGCTGAACCTCGTCCATACTGTGGTCAATTACCAGAGATCCTTGTTTGCCCAGCATCCCGCCCATCTTGTAGGAGGATCCAGATGCTGTTATCTCAGTGATGCTCAGTGGAGATTAAGCTTCAATGTGTACACAACTGTTTTGGCAGTAAACATCTCCAAAATGGTGTACTTACGGCTTCTGCAACAATGAACAGGAGAAATATTATACATTTCTTAAATTGAGAAATTATGTCTCAAACACAATATTAGAGAAGCAATATTTGGATTCAAAACATCTGTAAGGATAATTTTTGTATCCAAGATGTTGCATAAAAAAAATTACATACACTGTCGCCTGTTATTTTAATCCAAGAGTTCCTAAATTTCGGTTAAGGGTAACAGGTAGCTGGAATAATTAGTCATAATTAACAGGAGTTAATAATAATTAACAAATATCCTATTATGTGTGTGTACTTCAGGGAGTGGTTAGGCAAGCTCTGGCAAGGTCATTGTGCTTCTCCTGTCCATGTGTGTAAACAAACTCGTTTGAGCACAATTGCAACTTCATCATTTTATTTCATACATCATTATACATGTGTGTAAATCACGAAAATTAACACGTGATGAAAAATGTGACAGTGTCAGACCACGGAGGAAGAATTGAAGCAGGAATTTCCTTAAGTACTTTCGTATATTAATACATCTTCAGAAGGAATAGGATTTAATTAGGATTCGAATTTAGGAATTAGGAATAGGATTAGAAGGAATGAATTCCTTCTGAAGATATATTAATATACGAAAGTACTTAAGGAAATTCCTGTTTCAATTCTTCCTCCGTGGTCTGACACCATCATTATACATATTAGATATGTATTTATAATTTAGCTTTCAATTACCCATGTGTATTGAGTGTAGGGTCATTACATAACGTCTCGCTGGGCAAATCACCGAGTGTATTAAGCTGCTATAATGTTAGTATGTTCGTCCCCCCAAAAAAATAATATCCTGAGAATATTGCCAGTGTGAAAGGTAGAAATATTAGTAAATAATTAATAATCAAGGTTAAAAATTATTTAAAATCCCATAATCACGTTTTACAAACACGATTAAACCATCAATAAACCCAGAGGATTCCTGTCTAATCCACGTTTATCCAAACAATATATATTTATTGACATTACTGTAGTCTCCGTATTATATATTAAAGTCGGAATTACGGCCAAAAAAAATCCATAAAAATATAATTGTTTTCTTCCTACTGATTCGAAACATTTATATAGTTTCAGGGTTAACTTTTCTTAATAAAAAAAAACGAAACTGTGAAATTGTATTGTGGTTTTCGGACTGATAATGCAAAGTCAAGTGATTGAAGGTCATGTTGTTGGAGATCAGATATGGATAAGGCTCCAAATTAGTTAAATATCCTTCATCGTATTTCACACAGCGAGTTATTGGGCCTTTTACCACGTTGTACCCCATTTCAATCATTAAAAATAAAAGATTTTAAAACAGACAAATACCTTCTCACATTAGGTGTAAGCGGAGTAGAGCTTCCTCAGGCTACCGCATGCAGTGCCTCCTTGTAGATGATGTCATTAAATGAAGATTATCGGCTGCCAGCATGTGTCGGAGTAGATAACGAGTAGATAGTTGATAATACAGTAGATAGTCAGTGGTAGACTGGTTCGTCTGTGCCAGTTACAGCGATGAATATGACTTCCTCTCAGGCCCTATTTAAAATATAATTTTTTATATAAGGACTGAAATTGACAAGATGAAATAGGAACACACAGAGATCACACTAACGTGATGCATCAAATGAACAAATCCACAAGGGCCGTGACGAGGATTTGTTCATGAAATAGGAAGTCCTACGTATAAAATGTATGTTTAATAGGCAAGCCAAAATGGGAAGAAAGGTACTCCCAGTCAGATAACATGAAAATTAAGAACAAAAGATAGATAATGGCGAACAAAAGATAGATAATACTAACTGATTAAAGCATTTGACAGCTTAGTCTGAGCTGGTAAATTGTTATTCAGGGGTCATTCATATATTCATTCATCTTTTTATTATTCACCCCCCATACCCATCCATTGGACGGTGGTGGAAAGGTTACAGAGGTAGATAATAATGGCTTCAGGAACTGACCTTAGTAGTTCATTTAGTTAAGCAAGTGATAAGTCTTTAACACTGGTTTAATTTTTAACAACGGTATTTCTCCTTCTGAATTGCCTGACTGAGGGGGTTGGAACCTCTACTTGACAGCTCCTTGACCACTTGTGGTTTCGATAAACCTTGACCTCAAATCCTTGACGGAGCTCTTGACATGTTTACCCGCTGAAACAATGTTCCTAAAATCGTTCTAATGAGGCAGTTATATGCTGTTAAGGGATCGTGAATGATTGATTCTGTGAGTGGAGAGGCAACCACAAGCTCAACACGGCAGATAGTAGATGTAGATACTGTAGATACACTACAGTAGGTGTAGATATCGGAGAAGCTTGATACGCACCGCCGATTATAAACGCAAGTGACGGAGCCTTGACGGTATCTTATCTACAATCACCTTATTCATTATTACCAGCAGTTATGACGAAATTCTTCTGTTCATCATTAGACTGTTGAATATTAAAGATCAGCAGCGGCTCCTCTCATGCTAAAGAGTTACGCCATTAATTAACGAATACTTTTACTGATCAAAAATAATAATAATAATAATAATAATAATAATAATAATAATAATAAATTTGTATTCAGGTAAGGTACCTACATACAAGGTAAGATACAAAAGTTGATGGATTTATAGATAGAGCTAGTACATACAATGCCTAAAGCCACTATTACACAAAGCGTTTCGGGCAGATACATCTCATTTATCTTGTGGTGAACGAAGCGAAAACTGCCGGCGAACTATGACAGGCAGATCTGTTGTTGACCAAAAGCACACACTAGAAAGTGAAGGGACGACGACGTTTCGGTCCGTCTTGGGTCATTCTCAAGTCGATTTGTGAGAATGGAATTCTCACAAATTCACAATCGACTTGAGAATGGTCCAGGACTGACTGAAACGTCGCCGTCCCTTCACTTTCTAGTGTGTGGTTTGGTAAATAAATTAACAATCAAGGTTAAAAATTATTTTAATCAGTTAAACCGAAAAACGTTTCGGCCTCTTAGTCTGGTGTTGACTAAGGCTTTAACAGGCTGAAACGTTCATCTCTCTTTCCCATTTCTTTGTGTTTTTTCCGCATATATATATATATATATATATATATATATATATATATATATATATATATATATATATATATATATATATATATATATATATATAAGAAATGGTCAAATAGCTAATGTTCTATTTATTTATTTGTCAGAAAATCTTCATCAAATTGATTGGGTGAGGCAGTTTTTAATAACCAATTGTACAACAATTTTTAATAGAAACATTATTAAATCTACTTTAATGCAAATTACAAAACCATACAATATGAATATTGGTAATAGTTTGGACAATTTTGATCAATTAAGAAACGATCTTTGTAAAATGAATAATACACAGATATCCCATTATGGCTTCTAGGAATTTATATATATATATATATATATATATATATATATATATATTATTATGATAGCGCTTCCAGAATCTCACATGTATAGCCATTAGGCCTTTTGCAGTTACCTCTGCAAAAGGTCTTTTTTTTTACCCTTTTTTACGTTTATGAACCAATATTTTCAAAGACATATTTTTATACACCTTACACAAGATTTTCCTGCTTATATATTCAAGCATTTTATTTCAGTGATCGAATTTTTGATAATGTGTTCATTAACACGAAAGCACACAAGTCATTTCTAGTTTAATTTTTCATTCGTGTCGAAAACAAGACGAGTTTTCCTGAAATTATATATATTCTAAAAAAAAAAATGTTCTGCAATTCTTCTGGGAAAAAATCTAATAAAATTTATTATATTATATTTGATTTAAATTTTTGTAATTCGAGTTAAAACTAACATAAAAATGTGATCAAGTCTAACCAAACCTAACCTACCTAACCTAACCAACTTAACCTAACCTAGCCAACCTAACCTAACCTAACCAAGCTAACCTAACCAACTTAACCTAACCTAACCAACCTAACCTAACCTACCTAACCTAACCTAACCTAATTACGTAAGTCATTCATGTTCACCTGTTATGTATGGTGTTTAGATGGTGGCCAACAACCATTCAAAGTTGGTCTTGGTGAAGCAGTGCTCAGTACAGGCCCTTGTGAAGCAGTGCTCAGTATAGGTCTTGGTGGAGCAGTTCTCAGTGCAGGCCTTGGTAGAGCAGTGCTCAGTGCAGGCCTTGATGGAAAAGTGCCCAGTGCAGGCCTTGATGGAACAGTGCTCAATGCAGGCCTTGATGGAACAGTGCTCAGTGCAGGCCTTGATGGAACAGTGCTCAGTACAGGCCTTGATGGAGCAGTGCCCAGTACAGGCCTTGATGGAGCAGTGCCCAGTACAGGCCTTGATGGAGCAGTGCCCAGTACAGGCCTTGATGGAGCAGTGCCCAGTACAGGTCCTGGTGATGAAGTGACAGTGACGGACTGAGAGTCTGAGGTCTCCCTTATCAGAGCATTATCGTAACTAGTGTTGCCATTCGTATTTCTGGTTAGTAGTTTGCAATTAGAAACAACTGCCAACGTTGTAAACAAAGCAGCTGCACTGTGCCCAGATGCTGCAACATTGCTCGCCTCAGAGCCGTAGCAGCTTGCCACGTGGGGCGAACTACCCATTAACAACACCAATATGAGCATCTGGCATGCGTCTCACACCACAAGCCTTCTGAATTGCAATGGCCCTCTGCCTTGCTAATGCAATTCACACTAAATATGAGTGTGTTTGGGGCAAGGGTTTAAGCTGAGGAGTAGAGCCACTATGACCTGCTCTGCCAAATCACAGGGAGAAATGACACTGAAAACACATTGAAGTTAATGACATCATAAAGAGGAAGCCTTACCACAGCTGGTTGTCCAGCAGAGTCATATATCACCAGGACCTGTACTGGGCACTGCTCCATCAAGGCCTGTACTGGGCACTGCTCCATCAAGGCCTGTACTGGGCACTGCTCCATCAAGGCCTGTACTGGGCACTGCTCCATCAAGACCTGTACTGAGCACTGCTTCACCAAGACCAGCTTTGAATGAAAATTATTATATTTAATGGCCTTAAATTTATTAGAATATTCTTTTTACAACGTAATAGATTTGAAAAAATAATATAAACATTGATAAGAAATTTTATTATTCTAAAAATACTTATCATTTTGCTTTAACAATATATATTACCCATCAAATAGTAACTAAACTTTACTTTATGCTGCAAATATAAGTTTGATTTAGATTGCTTTAGTAATGACATGAATAGGTTGTGAAGAATAGGTTTTGATTCTGATTTTGACAATTACAAAGTCTCTTGCGATGCTGTTATTGTGACACTTTGTATATAATGAGTGTACTGCAATTTCTAAACAAACTATTCCAATTATAAATATACAACCATTTATGAACAAAGCTTTGGATGTAATTTGAGACGATTTTAGGAAGTTTTCTATAAACGGAATAAGGATAAAGAAAATGGTATGGTAGGGGTGACATAAATATTATCAAAGTATTCACTGGCTGATCTTTTCTCTCATATTATAAAATCGAACTTATTTTACGCTTTGCCTTTTGATAAATTTACTACAGGGATGTGATGAATTCATTACATGCTTGTCTAAGCATAGGTTACGAAAAACTATTTCCATAGCAATCTTACCTAAAAGTAATTAATAACATTAATTGGTATTATTAACTACTTTTTTCATAAGGATAATTATCTTCCCCCTTGTCTAAGTACAGATAAGCCGTCGACCTCACTATAACAACTGTAATAATTTAATTAAACAGAGATAATTATAACTTCTAAATCAAGATCTTGAGCATACAGTACATAATTATAGGGATTATATCTTATATAATTATTAATATGATTTTCTATCAGGTAAATCGTTTACTATAATTTGTTGCAAAATAACTTAATTATAAATGCACACTATATATATATATATATATATATATATATATATATATATATATATATATATATATATATATATATATATATATATATATATATATATATATATATATATATATATATATATATGTCGTACCTAGTAGCCAGAACTCACTTTTTGGCCTACTATGCATGGCCCGATTTGCCTAATAAGCCAAGTTTTCCTGAATTAATATATTTTTTATAATTTTTTTCTTATGAAATGATAAAGCTACCCATTTCATTATGTATGAGGTCAATTTTTTTTTATTGGAGTTAAAATTAACGTAGATATATGACCGAACCTAACCAACCCTACCTAACCTAACCTAACCTATCTTTATAGGTTAGGTTTGGTTAGGTAGCCGAAAAAGTTAGGTTAGGTTAGGTTAGGTAGGTTAGGTAGTCGAAAAACAATTAATTCATGAAAACTTGGCCTATTAGGCAAATCGGGCCTTGAATAGTAGGCCAAAAAGTGAGTTCTGGCTACTAGGTACGACATATATATATATATATATATATATATATATATATATATATATATATATATATATATATATATATATGTCGTACCTAGTAGCCAGAACTCACTTCTCAGCCTACTATGCAAGGCCCGATTTGCCTAATAAGCCAAGTTTTCATGAATTAATGTTTTTTTGTCTACCTAACCTACCTAACCTAACCTAACCTAGCTTTTTTTGGCTACCTAACCTAACCTTACCTATATATATAGGTTAGGTTAGGTTAGGTAGGGTTGGTTAGGTTCGGTCATATATCTACGTTAATTTTAACTCCAATAAAAAAAAATTGACCTCATACATAGTGAAAAGGGTAGCTTTATCATTTCATAAGAAAAAAATTATAGTAAATATATTAATTCAGGAAAACTTGGCTTATTAGGCAAATCGGGCCTTGAATAGTAGGCTGAGAAGTGAGTTCTGGCTACTAGGTACGACATATATATATATATATATATATATATGTCGTACCTAGTAGCCAGAACGCACTTCTCAGCCTACTATTCAAGGCCCGATTTGCCTAATAAGCCAAGTTTTCATGAATTAATGTTTTTTTGTCTACCTAACCTACCTAACCTAACCTAACCTAGCTTTTTTGGGCTACCTAACCTAACCTTACCTATAAATATAGGTTAGGTTAGGTTAGGTAGGGTTGGTTAGGTTCAGTCATATATCTACGTTAATTTTAACTCCAATAAAAAAAAATTGACCTCATACATAGAGAAAAGGGTTGCTTTATCATTTCATAAGAAAAAAATTATAGTAAATATATTAATTCAGGAAAACTTGGCTTATTAGGCAAATCGGGCCTTGAATAGTAGGCTGAGAAGTGAGTTCTGGCTACTAGGTACGACATATATATATATATATATATATATATATATATATATATATATATGTCGTACCTAATAGCCAGAACGCACTTCTCAGCCTACTATTCAAGGCCCGATTTGCCTAATAAGCCAAGTTTTCATGAATTAATGTTTTTTCGTCTACCTAACCTACCTAACCTAACCTAACCTAGCTTTTTTTGGCTACCTAACCTAACCTTACCTATAAATATAGGTTAGGTTAGGTTAGTTAGGGGTGGTGAGGTTCGGTCATATAGCTACGTTAATTTTAACTCCAATAAAAAAAATTGACCTCATACATAGAGAAAAGGGTTGCTTTATCATTTCATAAGAAAAAAATTATAGTAAATATATTAATTCAGGAAAACTTGGCTTATTAGGCAAATCGGGCCTTGAATAGTAGGCTGAGAAGTGAGTTCTGGCTACTAGGTACGACATATATATATATATATATATATATATATATATATGTCGTACCTAGTAGCCAGAACGCACTTCTCTGCCTACTATACATGGCCCGATTTGCCTAATAAGCCAAGTTTTCATGAATTAATTGTTTTTCGACTACCTAACCTACCTAACCTAACCTAACCTAACTTTTTCGGCTACCTAACCTAACCTAACCTTTAAAGATAGGTTAGGTTAGGTTAGGTAGGGTTGGTTAGGTTCGGACATATATCTACGTTAATTTTAACTCCAATAAAAAAAATTGACCTCATACATAATGAAATGGGTAGCTTTATCATTTCATAAGAAAAAAATTACAGAAAATATATTAATTCAGGAAAACTTGGCTTATTAGGCAAATCGCTCCTTGCATAGTAGGCAGAGAAGTGCGTTCTGGCTACTAGGTACGACATATATATATATATATATATATATATATATATATATATATATATATATATATATATATATATATATATATATGTCGTACCTAGTAGCCAGAACGCACTTCTTAGCCTACTATGCAAGGCCAGATTTGCCTAATAAACCAAGTTTTCATGAATTAATTGTTTTTCGTCTACATAACCTACCTAACCTAACCTAACCTAACGTTTTCGGCTACCTAACCTAACCTAACCTATAGAGATAGGTTAGGTTAGGTTAGGTAGGGTTGGTTAGGTTCGGTCATATATCTACATTAATTTTAACTCCAATAAAAAAAAATTGACCTCATACTTAATGAAATAGGTAGCTTTATCATTTCATAAGAAAAAAATTAGAGAAAATATATAATTCAGGAAAACTCGGCTTATTAGGCAAATCGGGCCTTGAATAGTAGGCTGAGAAGTGAGTTCTGGCTACTAGGTACGACATATATATATATATATATATATATATATATATATATATATATATATATATATATATATATATATATATATATATATATATATATATATATTGTGCATTTATAATTAAGTTATTTTGCAACAAATTATAGTAAACGATTTACCTGATAGAAAATCATATTAATAATTATATAAGATATAATCCCTATAATTATGTACTGTATGCTCAAGATCTTGATTTAGAAGTTATAATTATCTCTGTTTAATTAAATTATTACAGTTGTTATAGTGAGGTCGACGGCTTATCTGTACTTAGACAAGGGGGAAGATAATTATCCTTATGAAAAAAGTAGTTAATAATACCAATTAATGTTATTAATTACTTTTAGGTAAGATTGCTATGGAAATAGTTTTTCGTAACCTATGCTTAGACAAGCATGTAATGAATTCATCACATCCCTGTAGTAAATTTATCAAAAGGCAAAGCGTAAAATAAGTTCGATTTTATAATATGAGAGAAAAGATCAGCCAGTGAATACTTTGATAATATTTATGTCACCCCTACCATACCATTTTCTTTATCCTTATTCCGTTTATAGAAAACTTCCTAAAATCGTCTCAAATTACATCCAAAGCTTTGTTCATAAATGGTTGTATATTTATAATTGGAATAGTTTGTTTAGAAATTGTAGTACACTCATTATATACAAAGTGTCACAATAACAGCATCGCAAGAGACTTTGTAATTGTCAAAATCAGAATCAAAACCTATTCTTCACAACCTATTCATGTCATTACTAAAGCAATCTAAATCAGACTTATATTTGCAGCATAAAGTAAAGTTTAGTTACTATTTGATGGGTAATATATATTGTTAAAGCAAAATGATAAGTATTTTAAGAATAATAAAATTTCTTATCAATGTTTTTATTATTTTTTCAAATCTATTACATTGTAAAAAAAATATTCTAATAAATTTAAGGCCATTAAATATATTTACTTAAGTTACCCAAGATATAATCAACGCCATTTTCTTCAAATTCCTAGGTATTTATTATATTCTTATTAAAAAAGTGGTCTCAGATACAAGAAAGATAACAAATGTGTCTCTCTCTCTTGTCGCGTGACCTTCCTGGGGTGATTATACCTAACTACAGGACTTGGATACGTCGATAGTCAAAGCAGTGTATAAGACAAGTATTCAAGCCCATCCTCCTGAAATGGCTTTACACATAGTGATAGTTTGGTTGAAAGAACCAATATGAAGTGATTGACCACCAGAACCGCATTTTTTTTATTTTATCTTATTTTATTTATATATACAATAGTTCTTACATTCTTGTACAGCTACTAGCAAGCATAGCGTTTCGGGCAAGTCCTTAATCGTAATTTTCACCCCGGAATACGACCCGCCAAATCGTTTAACAACCAGGTACCCATTCACTGCTGGGTGAACAGAGGCTACAGTTAAGGATTGGCGCCCAGTCAATCCGGCCTACGAACCCGGCCAGCGATACGAACCACCGTTATGGGGACCATAGTTAAGAAAAAATTAAGCTATTTTTAATTTTATGTTGGGGTATTTAAGAACAATTTAGAGTACTCAAAGTATTGGTTCGAATCCTCCTCATGTGTCCTCCTGATTGTCGCTTAAGTACAATCAATTTAGGAGGACTTAAGCAGATGACTGTGCGAGTCATGGTTTTGCCTCTGCTGACTAAACCACCTACCACAATCAATTATCCTATATATAAAATTGTTTAGCATTAAATATCGGCCAGCAAATACGCAAATTTATTTTATTTATTTATTTATTTATTTATATACAGGAAGGTACATTAGGGGTTAAAGAGAGTACATAGTAATGATGATTTTACATTCTTGTAAAGCCAATAGCACGCATAACGTTTCGGGCAAAAATTTTATGGAGTCGCAGCAATCTTAGATAAGGCAAATCGTTAGAGTACAACACACAAGATATTGATGACTAATAAGGCAGTAAGAATCATTCTTCCCAGTTTGTGTGGAGGCGCCTCGTGCCCAAATAATGCTAGGCTAAGAGGTCACTTTGAATCACTATATTTATTGGGTTGTTAATAGTTTGGGGGGAATCGTAGCCAGCCAGATGGCGTCTTGGGTTGAGTATTCACCTGACTACTCCAGTGGAAAGGTTTGGGTGTGAAGGGATGCCAACCTCTCCACATCGTATGCTTGTCCAAGGCTGGGGACGATCTTTTTGTTCAGCTAGATCGCCTGTCAGTTTTGCGGGGTCTGGTCCTTATAAATTGTCAAAGTGGCTTGTGTTAATTTTTGTCTGCCCTCAACATGGTACGTAAAATATCAACTTCATACATAAAGAACAACATCGATTTGGTGATTAAATGATCTAACTTGAATTTTAGGCTTTGGAATTTAGATGTGTCGACCGTGTTGTTTACTAGGAGTCCCTCTAGTCCTTATGATTTGTTAGCAGATTTGCTTGATAAACTCCCAAACTATAATTTATAGATAATATCTAATACTAATGTTGAACTGACTAAATTGTTTAGCAAGGATAGTACCTTTGTATTTGATGGGAAATTTTATTTCCCACAAAATCCACTACGGGGTCACCATAGCCCGTGATACCCGGAACTTATTCTTCCAAGTGGCTGAATCTAAAACAACAACAATTTATTTCCAAACCATTGGAATGGCAATCCATTGTCTCCGTTGCTTTGCAACTTGATCATGGAATTCTTCGAAGACCAAAATGTTGCCTGTTTTATTTTTTACCAGTTGTGAGAACGTGGTGCCAATATATATATAGATTATATTTGGTGCCACTGGAGGCATAACCTGAACCCAATTGATTTCTTTACAAGACTCAGTGCCTTTAGTACCCAAGAAAAAAATGACCATCGTGGAAGACATCAATGGAGTTTTGATGCTTTTGGATATAAATTTCTTTCCTCTGTTCTCATTTTTTTTTCGAACTCCCCGTCTTCTCTGTTTGACCCTTCACCTCTCCTTGTCTCTGAAGGGAAAGGGAGCTACCTCGTAAGCGTGCTCTGAGGAAAATATATTTTCCTTTCATAGCAGTTGATTTGCATTTTGTGAAGCCGGTGTTGTGATATTTTGTACCATATATATATTACCGAAGTGGAGAATAATATATATATATATATATATATATATATATATATATATATATATATATATATATATATATATATATATATATATATATATATATATATATATATATATATATATATATATATATATATACACACACACACGAGTCGGCCATGATGGTAACCAACTAGTCGACCAACCCGGAACTCTACTGAATTCTGTTCTGGGAGGTATAACTTCTTTATTGACAAAATATACAATTCTGCCTAATGTGCGTAATTCAAGTAGGTCTTATTGCAGTGAGGTGCTGCTTGCCTTCACTGCCAAAGAGGACAGAGGATCATACACAAAACAAGAGTTCTAAATTATAGATTGTAGCACATATATATTTCATCTAATACATCAGATATTATACATGTTTCAGTTTACGAATTTGTAAGAGCAACTTTCGATCGTTCACTGCCACATAAGGCAGCGATGGATTCATGAGAGATGCAACCTTAAAAAAATAGTCGTTAATAAATACAATTTTCGTTCTTCATTCCTTAAAATGGTCACACAAATTTAGCATCAATTATTAGGATGCTTTCCAATATACCAGATACAATGAAATAGTTACATAGTTGATTGTACAATAGGCCAGGAGGTCTAAATCTTTTACCGTTTCACATTAAATAATGTAGTGTTCAAGAGAATGATTTAATGGCTTGTCACAGAGTTTACAAGCTGAATATTCTGGTAGTGGCTCAGCCTCACTAACCTGCCAGATGTGTCTATAACCGAGGTGCCAATTCGCGCAATGACTACATCACATTGCCTGGTCCGGTTACTGTGTTGACCATACAAAATACCTATTATTACAAAAATTGTCATAGCTTTTAATACTGCAGCTTTCAGGTCTTTGGCTATTTCTTAGTTCTTCTAAATCTGTAGTAATCTCAATAATTTGAATGTTTTTTTTTAAAAGCTAAATATACATATACACCACTAAAACAATATCATTTAAACACAATTACGCTTGTTTTTAGGTGGCTGTGGAGCACTGTTCTCTATTGGCTATATTGCATTCACCTGGGCTCTAGGAGACTCGAACCGGGGACCCCACGTGTGTGAGGCCGAAGCTCTATCGTCCGAGCTATTGAGTGATCTTAATAAGGAAAGATGAATGGTTGAAAATTAAAAGTTGTGTCTCCTAGAACCTAGGTGAATGGGATGGTTATTTCCACGGATGTGTGGATGACAATTTTCTACTGGCTATAGTCTTACATTTTGGTATAAAGGAGTCTGTGTTTATCTTTGACACGGCTGTATAGAGACTCCGCGGAGATCCGTAAGCACCTTAAACATTGAGCATCAGATAACCACCTGGACTTGTTCACTGTCCAGGTGGCAAGAAACTGAGTGATGGCACTGCAACGCTCTCATCTCCTTCAGTCGGGATTGGCTCAGTCGTGAGGTCACTCTCGTCAGTGACATCGTCAGCATAGGAGCTGTGGACGGGGTTGTCCTCGACCTGGGGCGGGCTCAGGAACAGTACTGCGTCTTCCCCGTCGACGGGAACCTCTTCAGGAATGATCTCTGCATAGGAGCTGGTCTGTGGCATGGCCTTGATCATTGCCACAAGATATTCCAACACGTCGGATGCAGCCTTGTCGGAGGGTATCTGGGCATAGCTGGAGAGCTCGGGAATCGTCAGTGATTCCTGTGGAGAGTCTTCGTATGTCACGTACGATGTCTGCGACGGGGATGTCTCGACGGAAACTGGTGGAGGGGCTAGATCGCTGAGGCCAGCAGCAGCTGCGTGGCTGCTGTATGTGTCTTCTGGAGGAGGAATAAGTTCATCTCCCTCAGACATCTCTGAGACTCCGATATAGGTAGAGCCCTCAGGGGGAAGGATAGAGTCTTGTGGCTCCTGTTCAAAGTAAGCGTCGTAGGAGGACGGGGCTACGAGATCGTCGAGGAATGGGCTCGGTGCAGGCACGTCCATGTCCTCGTTGGGAGCATAACTGTAGATGGTGTAGGTGTGTTTCTCGCCGTCTAAGGCCGCGTTGTACTTCTTGGGAAAGTCCTTGTTAGATTTTCTTGGTAGGGCCGCCACGGCTGCCACCGTCACCAGGAGAACCTGTTGGTGAGAAGAACACGTGAGTTACTGGTAACACCGGATATAGAGACCAGAATGTGAGTCACCTGTTGAAGCGAAAAAACAAGGTGAGTTAGGACACTACACTATGACCATGTCGTAGCTCAGTCGATTAAGACAGCGTTTGGGATGCTCTCGGACGTAGGTTCGAAACCTCGTCACGGCCCTTGTGGATTTGATCAGGTGAATTAGGAGTTTACGGGGCAAGGGGGGGGGGAGGGGACAAGACATAATTTCTGAACACACCGAAAGACTCACAACAGGAAGAAAAACATTAATCAAATTTATCTTAATTTATCAGTTTGTAAATAACCCGAAAATGTTAACAGCCTCACAAGAACATTTATAGCCTGTAGGTGGTAAATGTTATTGTCATCGATAGTAAATAAATGTAAAGTTTCGTATACAGACACTTCCTTTATTTGAAGACTCGAATGCTTAACTTTTCCTCTATCTTCTTTGAATGTGCTCAGCCAGACTCTGTCGGCACCGCATCATTAGGCTATCTTGGCCTTATCCAGCGGTCGACCCTAAAGACACAGTCATCCCATTTTAACATGCTGAGCATTCAAAATTTGAATTTTCTCAAATACATAGTAATATTACTATTTATTAACCAATCGTGCATATTTAGGTATAGAATAGGTTAGATGTTTAGGCTCTGTTGGCAATTATATTTATTTTATAGTTGGTTAAGCATTTCGAGAGCTGGGACTCGAACAGAGGTTGTCAACGAAGGACAATTCGAGAAATGTTTGACCATCATCAGTTGTGAGTCGTGTGTCACGCGTCTTTCAATCATGAACAGAGGGTTTGGACGCTGCATGGAATGACTGGCCAACATAAGAACTGCCTTCAGAAACTTGTGTAAGGAATCTTTCAGAACCCTGTATACCACTTATGTAAGACCAATCCTGGAGTATGCAGCTCCAGCCTGGAGTCCATACCTAGTTAAACACAAGACAAAGTTAGAGAAGATTCAGCGGTATGCCACCAGGCTCGTCCCGGAACTGAGAGGATTGAGCTACGAGGAAAGGCTAAAGGAGCTGAACCTCACATCCCTGGAAAACAGAAGAGTAAGGGGAGACATGATAACCACCTACAAAATTCTCAGGGGAATTGACAGGGTGGACAAAGACAAACTCTTCAGCACGGGTGGGACACGAACAAGGGGACACAGGTGGAAACTTAGTACCCAGATGAGCCACAGAGACGTTAGAAAGAATTTTTTCAGTGTCAGAGTAGTTAATAAATGGAATGCACTAGGAAGTGATGTGGTGGAGGCTGACTCCATACACAGTTTCAAATGTAGATATGATAGAGCCCAGAAGGCTCAGGAATCTGTACACCAGTTGATTGACAGTTGAGAGGCGGGACCAAAGAGCCAAAGCTCAACCCCCGCAAGCACAATTAGGTGAGTACAATTAGGTGAGTACAGCCCGTCCTCCAAACAAAGATCCAAAAGTGATTCCATGCACCCGCCAAACCCCCTGTTTATGAATGAAAAGCGGTTTACACACGACTCACAACTGCTGACGTTCGAACATATCCGGAGCAAGTGCTTCACTGACGAATTTTGTTCGAACCACAACGCTATAAATGCTTCACTCACGTACTACAAATACAAATAATCGCCAACAGAACCTAAACACCTAACCTATCCTATGCCTATATATACACAATATGCTAATATATTATAATATAAATTTATACTTGAGAAAATTCCCGTTTTGAATGAACAGCATGTTAAAATTTATGAATGCGTCTGTGGGGTCGACCGCTGGATGTAATGGACTTGAGTCGAGGACGGGTTGTGGAATGAACATTGGCCTAGGTTGATGAGGACAGGCTGCCATCCGCCTCGGTGTTCCGAACTGCCTCCTTCAGCAGGTAAAGTACCCACTAGCATGATTGTGTTACACGCTCTGCTTTTTTTTTCCATTCTCCGAAGGTGAATGCGGGTCCTCAGTCCTTTTATATAAGTGTTTGTTAATTGACGATTTAAGATATGTCTTTGTTAAAATATTTCTGAATTCTCGTGACTCTTAAAAAGTTGCAATATGTTCAGAATGTTTATAAAATAATATTACGGTAGAATATCTTTTGGGCCACATACATATTCAAAAGCTTATAAGCTCCAAAAAACTATATTCACACATACATTACACACACACACACACATATATATATATATATATATATATATATATATATATATATATATATATATATATATATATATATATATATATATATATATATATATATATATAATATATATAATATATATAATATATAAGCAGGTGCAAAGAAAGACGGGGACACAGGAGGGAGTCTGAACCCTACAAGTCCACAACTATCATTGTCTCAGATATCATTGAGTGAATTTGAGTGTCATGATTACCTGTCCAGCAACTGATTTCCCTCAGTCGTTATCTTACCTGCCTCGCCAGGAGTCTCGCCGAAAACATCAGAACACGCGTCTTGATAACAGGTAAGGTTGGATAACCTGACAAAAGGTGATTGACAGGTGTCACATCAGAAGGCAGATATAAACACGTGGGTGACGCTTCGTCGCCCGTACAAGGTCACCGTGACTCCGGAGGTGAAGGAATCTGACAGGTAATGAAGCGGTGCTGACCAGCGGTCATAAACAAGCCTTGTCATTACCGTCGGGAGAAAGTCGCAAGATATAAATAGCGGACACAAGGAACTGTACTCCGGCGGAAACCTCACTACCACCGTCAACACGTCGTAGCAAATTATTTGTGATGTTTTAGAGTGATGTGTATCCATGTTGATCCGCCTCTCTCTCTCTCTCTCTCTCTCTCTCTCTCTCTCTCTCTCTCTCTCTCTCTCTCTCTCTCTCTCTCTCTCTCTCTCTCTCTCTCTCTCTCTCTCTCTCTCTCTCTCTCTCTCTGGAGATGAGAGATGCAAGAGATGAGAGAGACGAAGGAGGGTGAGAGTGAGAGATCCAGAGACTATAAGGGTCGCTGACATTAGCGAGGGGGACGCAGGTGGTGAACGCGGCCTCAAGTCTACGTATTACGAATATTGAGTTGAATGTTGAAAGCATCTTGTTGCTCTCAAGCTCCACAGAGCAAGCGGCGTTGGAAGAGAACTTTTGTATGAACAAAATCCCGTCTAGCCATGACTCGGGTGATCCCGGAGATCGAAACCCGGTTCGAACCGCGGGTTGAGACTTAAAAGCCTGAGATTCATTTGTCCATTTCCAAGTTCACTTATTTACGTGGTCTCATTGGTTGAGTGGGCAAAAGGACAAACTGGTGGGCACTTGGTTGTCGGTTCGAGGCCCCAAATGGTATTATTTGTTTCAAGATATTGAAACTGAATACGTGTGGAATGTATAAGAATTATTCAAGCGTCTACATTTTATTTTTTTGTCGTGTTACCGGCTGGTGCGTGTTGTCACGGTGACAACATTGTTCTAGTGTCCAGCTGACACCTTTGTCAATGAAGCCTGAATTATAGAGTCAAGGTATCGGGTGTGCACGTTCGAGCCTCCCTTCGTGTTGCATTATTGTCACACCATTTTTGATGAAGTGATTTTCTTTTTCAAGTCAGCAAACTTTTTTTTTCTCTGACATACGACAGCTGCTGCTGGTGTAAGTCGCGTACATCTGCTGTAAGGCAGCGTAAGTCTGCTGTCGTAAGCTCACTACACACAGAACCCAGTGATCGGTGAAGACAAATGGCAATACCAAGGATACTTGGATACCTGACATGATCTGGGAACCAGGTGTTCAGCTCACAGGTCAACCAGCTTGTTGTGGCCATCCTTTACCAAAAAAAAAAAAAAAGAGAACTGGAGTAATCCTCATGCATATCACGGCTGACATGACGTCCCTTCACTAGAGCAAATTAGTAACATGCTCAAGCAATATAACGCACCATGACCCAGAACAAACACTTTCAAACATTATCGGTGACCGTGAGACTGCCAGAGTCCAACACCGACACTCCAGAAACTGTGAGAAACACAAATCCCTGACCGCCAGTGTTGCACACTATGCAACACAACATTTCCCAATAGTAGAAAAACACTTGTTGATACAGCCACTGCCGCTGGAATATATAATACCTGGACTGAGTACCTGAGGTTAAGCTCACGATCTGCGCCTTGCAACCTGCACGGGGTCATTGAGGTCATGCCCATTGTATCCATGCAACTTGCTCGTGGGTTGCCCCTTGCACGGGTCCCTGGTTCCAGGGCAGAGTTATGCATCATTGCTGTCATGCAGTAAACATTCAGATATTGCCTATGAAGGTCTCAATGTATGTTGTCCAAGCACAAGGCTCTCCAGTCACTGTCTTGGGTATATACAAGGCTTCATTCACACATAGGTAAATATTGACATTATATATTCACGTGGCCGAGTTGCTACAGTCTTATCCGTATTATGCATGAGAGAGAGAGAGAGAGAGAGAGAGAGAGAGAGAGAGAGAGAGAGAGAGAGAGAGAGAGAGAGAGAGAGAGAGAGAGAGAGAGGGTGGAGAGAGAGACAGAGAGAGCGTGTCTAATGTATAGTAAAGCGTAAAAACAGCTATTGTTATCACGTGTGTGTGTTTTTCTGGCAGGTTGTGGTAGCGAGACGTCCGGTTGGCTACCACAACTGCCCCACACGCAACCTTGCTCAGGTCCTTACACCCAGGCCGCTCGTGTTAGTAACTACGTCTTACCGTCTAATAGCCCCATTAAATTCACCTAACCTAACGAAAATGACGTCTTTAAATAGGGTTGAAACAGTAATAATAGATGTGCCGCCTTTCAGAGGGCGCTAAATTGTCAGATATATATACTATTATTTGTGGTTAATAAGTACATTTGTGCTTCACCTCCAACCCAACCACCACCACCACTACCACAACCACTACCACCACTACTACCACAACCACCACCACCACCACCCCTTCAACTGAGGCCATGAAAGAGAACACAATAAATCACTCGAACCAAGGAC